TACGTGCATCATATTTATCGGGACAGTGCACCAGAGGTGCACCAGTCGATACACCAGCTGGGGAAATCTAGCCACCGAATTGAGTCGTGGCTGGAAAAACGGAGTGCGCTTGCCTCCACCATGTGCACCTAGTTCAGCAGGTCTGCAACTAGGCTTGTAGTGCGGTAGGAGATTGTCCTTGTGAACAACCTAATGCAGCATGCGAACGAACTTCAAGAACAGGCCACCTCCTTGATGCAACGTCAGGATGCAATGATTCAGAAACTTGAAGCTGATGTACGTGATCTCCGAACTCGTTTGATTGCTTGCTCTGAGCCAGCAATGCCTGAGGAAGCGGGGTATCATCAGGATTGTCCCAGTGGGTCTGCCCAAACTCAACAGTCTGATATCGTAGCAGCATCCTTGTCTGATGCCGGCGTGACGCGGGCCGACGATGATGATCAGCCTTGGCAACAAGTTCATGAACAGCATCACGAATCTAGATTAGAGCTCAAACGACAGAGTCGAGAAGCGCGAATGGCGCAACTGCAGGGCTTTCAGATTTCCAGCGCGAAGCTTTGACCAGTGAGCTTTAGGTCGCAATGAACGGGATTGTGGCTGTCAATGCACATTCAGCTTTCTCGTGTCTGTACACACTCTACTGCAGTCAATTATTTCCATGCCCTGTTCGGAGAACGGGCTGCGCGTCTGACGGGTTCGCCTGAGCACGCGAGAGAGAGAGAGGGCGAAAAGTCTAACCGTACCCAGAATTTGAAGGGTTAGGGCAAAATAGTCTAACTGTAAAGGCGGAGAATCTCAAGGGGTAGGGCGAAATAGTCTAACCGAAACAGCGGAGAATTTGAAGTCTTCTAGGCCCTAAACTCTCCCCGCGCAACTCACACTTCGATTCACCCCTGATTGCCATCTGTTCTTCTTAGCTCTTCTTTACATCCTTCTTATTCTCTCTTTTTAGATATTGGGTTCTCCGGTCCTTTAATTTCTTTCTTTGCATTATGTTTCATAATTTGTCATAATTGTTCATCATTTTCATCACTTTCTTCATTTTCATCAGTTCTCATCATCTTTCATATTTTTCATCACTCGCTATCATTTCTTATGAAGTTCTATCATTATTTTCCATTATTCTTCATATTTTTCATCATTGTACTGTTCATTGTTTTTCATAAGTTTGATCATTTGCTATCTATCATTTTCATCACTTTTCTATCATTTTCATGACTTTTCACAATTCTTCTCATTTCCTATCATTTTCCGAGATGTTCATCATTGTGGATAATGTTCTGTCATTTCATCATTTTTATATCACTTCATCATTCTCTTGATTTTTCATGGTCTTTCATCAGTCTTCACCATTTTTGCTTCCGAACCGCGCTCTCGTGTGGGGCGTCCTTCGATTCAAGGTCCCCAGCCCCCCAAAAAAGTCCATAACAAAAAACAAAAAAGCACAAACAAAATTCAACCCAATGTAACATAGGCGCGGACCAAGAAGCCAACACCTCCTCCGATAAGGCCAGGCCGGTTCTTCACAAGCACGTCTCTGCTGCTAGCAAACTGCTTTCAGCCAAGCCTTGGGCTTTCAGGTTGCCAGGTAGCAGCAAAGCTGGAATGCACACGGGACATGCAGGGCGAACGCCATCATGTTGTAGACAACTAATTGCTGTGAGCTTTGCAGTGAACGCTTGATTACTTTTCAGGCCAGCGATTCTCCCCGGAGCACCAGCAGGCTGCGTCGTGCTCTTCTGCAGATGAAAACAGCATGCAACTTGTAGCCACTTGCTAGGTACTTCAGACGGCATGGTGCCAGCGAGGCACCGACCTCGCAACAGCACCTACTTTCCCTCTTTTGAAGATCAGCAGCTGAGCCATTCTGCGAGGCGTGTTCGACGGCGTCTGCCGCAACTTTTTCTGAGATCGAACAGGCCCTAGAAAGATCACGCAATGAGAGAGAAATAGGCCTGTTCCTTGGCAGGATTCTCCGCAAGTCTACGATGGAGAAGAGAGCGAGTCGAGAGCAAAGGGCCGGCCAGCTCGCTGTGGTAGTTGTGCATTGCTGTGCATGTTTCATTTCACATGGACTCATCGCCCACCGCCACAGTTTCAGTTGACTGTAGTCGCGGGTTTCCTGATCAGGCTGGGGAAGCGCGCCCAAAGAGGCAGAACCTGCAGGCACGATTCCTGGCAACGATGGAACCCAAAGGTGGGGAGGATTGGTGATGCTTACAGGCTAAGCCGGCAGCGCCACCGTTTCGGCCTTACGAAGAACACCGTTTGGGGGGCCATAGACGAATACATTGGTTGCAGGTTGACCCAGGAGCAAAGACTCCAGGAGGCTGTGAGGACGGAGGCTGGCAAATAGTGTCTTGTGTTCGAGAAATCTCACATTTCTTTGGCTCCAGGAGAAAAACAGGGAGCAATTCCACAAGCTGCAAAGTGCCAGCCTCAGAGTCGCTTCCAAACTTGGGCGCCTGCAGTTCATGAGCTTTTAGAAAAGGCCATGCGTGGTTAAGCAAAAACTTACGCATGCTTACCGTGATAAGCTTCCAGAACTCCGAACTCCCAAAGTCGTAGTGACACCCGTGACCTGTTTCGTGCACTCACTTTTCGTGCTATGCACGCTGAACCGAAGTGGCTAGACCTGCCGGCTTTGTCTGAGTTTTGCAATGGCCAAAGACATGTCATGGCGCGGGGGATGATCTGGCCGCGGTGACATGGGAAGGGGCAAGGTGGCAGCACAGAGAGAGCAGAGAGAAGGGCAAGTGCGGCGCTGCATTCGGTTCCGTGCATATGAAAAGGGCCGCTCAGCACGTTCGAGCATTTTCGGCTTCGTGCGTCGCACAGGCATACTAGCTGCACCAGGCAAGCTTCAAAGCACAACATGAGTGCCAGAAGGCCTTACGAACGCCAAACTGTTGATTTGAGGTCTCGCAGGGATCAATCCGCAGCATAAGAATCAGACCCGGTTCGGCAGGTTTCAAATCAGAAGCGTCAGAGCGAGAGAATCTCCTTTTACATGAGGTGAAGAAGATGAGAAGAAGCGTTCAACAAAGCGATTTCGCAGGCAGGAAGTCACTTGCACTCTGTCGGAGGTGGTCAGCCCTGATGTTCAGGATGCAGTATCATGGACCTCGGCTTCGCTTCATTTCACGGTGGGGTGAGCGGCAGACTGTCTGGCTAAGAGCGGCTGCAGTACAGGCTTTCGAGCGGTGCAGAAGTCGCAGGCACAGACGCCGCTGGCTTAGCGCTGCACGGTTTTACAAGCTGCTCACCACGTTGTCCATTCCGCCAACCCATCGCTAAAAATCATGGCAAAGGTCATCGGGGCGCGCCCGGGCGTGGAGAGCTTCGTTGAAGCCCAAGCTGTAAATGGGATGCTTTGATTCAATTTCAGGTGCTGGCCTGATGGTGTGTCTTGCGGAAGGTCGAGCTGATTGATTGCGCCATGTCCGATTTCCTCAGACTACCCAAGGAGGCCGCTGCACCACTAGCTGTGGCTGTTTTTAAGCTTCTGTCCGAATTTCAGATGCATACGGCCGGCTGAGGCAAAGACGCAATCTCAGGAAGTAGGCGAGAACAAAGAAGACATCAGCTTGAAAACGTGATGGGTGCCCACTTGTTCGCCTGCAGTCTTCAACGCAATTGAATTTGGTGTTGCACAGCCAGCGCCCAAACAGCTTTAGCGGTCCAAGCTAGGCCACAGGCTTGGCTCACAGAAAGTGCAGCCACGGCCACTGGCAGCCACAGGTTAGTGTAGGGCATGTGCTTGGTGCAGCACGCCGGCGCGGCATGACCCTGTGGTCGCACACTTATGGGTACTTGGACAGGATGTGAAAACAGCGTAGATAGACCCATCAAGCAAGTTTGAATGAGGCCGTTCCAGAACGTGGTGTGCCATTCCCTGCCCTACACCAGGCTTTTCGTTGCACCAAGATGCTCGACGGTGTGCCTGGCAACGTTGGTAGTAAGGGACGATCATAGTTGGCCTTTTCATTAACCTCCGCTTCGGAGCGCCAGGCCAGGAAGATCTTCAAGTGGGCAAGAGGGGACGGGTTGGAGAAGAAGAAGAAGACGGGGGGGTGGAAACCAACACGCCCTTCAGCGCAAGCTTTTTCCCATGCGGTTGTAAGGGGCCGCAGGGTTGAAGCCTGACGCTCCCCCCTGAGTGGATGCGTGTGGCCTACAGCAGGAGAAAGAGGCCACATGGGGTTCGCCCCTGCGCACTTGCTCAGGGGTTGTGTCAGGCCCGTAGAAGAAGAAAAGAGGGTATATGCCCCAAGAGGGGCATATGGCCTACAGAGGAAGAAAAGGGAAGCAGTTTGCCCCAAAGCAACCCGCATGCCAGGCATATTGCCTGTGGGTTCTCAGCATGCTGACCTTGATCATCGTGCCTTTGTTCGCAACATTTGCAGCTGACAACGTGTGGGTCAAGGACAGGGCGCGTGGTGAACTAACAAGTCGGCGTCATATGCAGTCTCAACAACAGCACAAGAGCCGTACAAGCCCATGCAGCAGGTGCTAATTATTTCAAGATTTGGCAGGAGATTCGAGTTACGAGTGGCATTGGCATTCCTATGACATGAGCGCGGAATTTAGAATTAGCATTGCTAGCATTGGCCATTCCGCTACGTACAGTTCTTATTCATGTTAGTACTCATATTTGAACATATATAAGCCCGCACTTATAGAAGACGCCGCTTGTTTGTCACTGGGATGGCGTTGTTGTTTTTTCTCCACTCCTTTTCCAAAATTGCGTTCAGATGTTCGCATTTACTGGCTTCTCGAATCCAATGCTTTCAAGGATTTCCCAACTTTTTGCATGCCGCAGGTCCGCAGCAAGAAGTGATTTTGTGCATGTGAGGAATATCAAGTATTATGCTATTACTTTTGCGCATACTACTGCCAATAGCAATGTTTATACCAATGCCGATGGTCCTTCTCGGGCTAGCATTAAATATAATAACAGTACTGCGGCGAATCCTAACGCTAAACTGACAGTGATAGGTAACAATAGTGATATCAATGTTAATTCCCATTCGAAAAGTATGAAACACAAGCGCTACTAGTATTGATGTTAAAGGTGAACACTACGATTGGGGCCATCACTAGTCCTTATGCCGATGCTAATACAGGCGGCAGTGGGTTTGGCAGTGCCCAAAGTGTGGCCTCATGCTGCGCTGCACCTCTTCAATGCTCTCTCCAGCAGCTGCAGCAGAAAGTGCACATGCAGAGCCTTCCCAACGTTGAGTTTCCATGCCCTTCACCTTACGCTCGCAAGGCCAAGGGTTGTTGTTGCCACTGCGGCACATCCCGTGGAGCAAAGGGATTGGACCTATACCTGGTTGCAATCAAGGATTGCCTGCACTTCGTAAAACCGCTTACGACCGGATTCCCCGGTTGGTTAAGAAACAAGAGGCCTAAGAGAACCGACGGGGTCAGCAAGTGGCAGAGGGCCAAGCACATATGGTCAAATCACAGTTTTAAGTGTCAGATAAGCTCTAGGCGCGCTTGGTGCACTTGGGAATCTTACCGCGTGAATGTGGGTCAGTACGCTCAAGAGCTAATGGCTTGAGCTTAAGGCTACTCCCTGCACACTCTCCGCAGCCCTTGTGTGCTTGAGGAAGAAGTCAAGTCGGCAAGGCCTGAGCCCATGCTGGTGGGCAGTTGTGGGCTTCACAGTATTGTAAAACCCAGCCTTTGGAACCTCAACAGCCCCAAGGTCGAGACCACTTTGACCTGCAAGCGTGGGTTCGCCATGACCTCTCAAGCAAAGTTTAGGACAAAGAAGCGGCTGTTCCTTACAGAGGGCAACCCTCTGTTCGCCATTGACCTTGTGGCTGCTTCTGGGGCGCACCCAAACTGAGGTGCACGAGTTCCCGGGCCTCAATCCTGAGTTTGCACGCCTTGGCTACCAACCTAGTCGGGCTACTGCTAGACCCAGAAGCAGGTCTAGCGCTAAACGAAGTGTGTCCGTCCTCCAAACTTCGCTTCAAAAGCTTTGGCCTTTGGGTTCCCACCAAGGACATCTAAAAGAAATCCACTCTGTAAGGAAGAGCAACATACGTGTGAGCTTCAGCAAGAAAGCAGACAAGGACTCAGTTTCCAACCGCATATGGCTTCTCCTGATTCTTCACCACGACAGCTGCGGCTATCAGAAAACAGTCGAGCAGTGAGGGATGTTAGATCTACTCACTCAGTACCACACCACTCCTTGAACATAGATAGGCTTTCAAGCTTAAGCTTTCTTAAGGGTAGGCTGACTCAATCCTGACAAGCACCGGGGACCTGCCAGGGAGACAGATGAAAACTGGACGTCAGGTAAACAGGAACAGGCTACTGAAATGTTGGTCCAACAGTAGCAAGACCTGTGGGGCAAAGTCCTTGCTGATCAAGCTTTGACCACCTGAACCCTGGTGAATGCTGTCGGGCCTGTCGCTCATACACAGTGACAAGGATTGACGGGATAGAAAATTTACCGAGCCACGACCACGGCCAAGGGCTCTGGCGGGGCCAGATAAGTGTCCCGAGAATGTGGCTAGCGTGTTCAAGACCCTTTCAGACCGGTGAGCGCCACCAGGGTCGTTTGCGCTGTCAACTAAAGGAAGCCAGAAAAGTGAACTTGCCCAAGCCTAACAGTCTTGACGGTCGGGGAAGCTAAGTCTTAACGAGCAGCGAGATTGGGTCAACCCTAACAGCTGCATTTCGGGCACCTTCTTGGTCAGCGTGCTTGGCAGTACAGTGAAGTGGAGCGGACTAGAATTTGCGAAGCTGAAAAAAAGACGCTTTCTTGACTACTAGCGGACTTCCCTGGGATTGCAGGATCCTTGCGCATAGGGTCCTTGTCATGGGAGAGGCCGAACAGGAAAAGCCGCCACCAGTCAAACGTCTGGAGGAAGCAGATGACAGGAAACAATGAAGTTGAGCATCAAAAAGAGGAGAGATCCAATTTCAGCCAGAATCCCGTGTCAGCAGATGCTCTTCATAGCGAAGGGCTGAGATCATGCTGGGCCATGCGCCGATGCCCACCAAATGCTGGCAAGGTGTCATTTGTAATATGGCATATGTCGTGCCGCTAGCTTAGCTACAAACGACAATCAAGCCTAGCACTGCGAGAGCCACAGGTCTGTCTTGCTTGCAGATCACGCTCCAACAGCCTGGCACGGGGCGGCAAGGCATGGCCGGATGGCCGCACATCTCGCCATTGATTCTGGCAAACTTGAACTGATTGAGCTAGCTGAACGGATCAAAGACAATCTGGGTCTGTACAGTGCCTATGCAAAAGAGGGGGCGCATGGTCTTGCAGCATGCAGCCACAGGAAGCGGTATACCTTTGCCAAACAATGTAGGTTTTGACGTGCTGCTGAAAAGGGTGAACGTATGCTGTAAATGAGCAGCTGGTTGCAGGAGAGTTTCTACAGGTTCCAGCCTGTGGTGACTTTTACCGATGAGCTTTACGTCTTGGCTGGTGGAAACACTGCTGAAAACGCCGTGGGGTGGAGTGTGACGCTCAGGATTTTGGAAGGCCTTAGAGCTGGCAGATGGTAGATGTCCAGGTACCCAGCCAGATCTCCGAGCGATGCTCCCAAAGGCAGCCACGTTCTGCAGCTTGCACTTGCCTACCATTGATTTACCATTGCGCAGCAGATTTGCAGGTGATAGTTCCAACCGTGCGTGCAAGCACAGAGGATAGAAATCGGGATGGCATTGCCGACACCTTGCAATTGACGCTGGACAGGGTTGTTTTTCTTCCCAGTGTGGCTTCCAACAAGCGTATGGACAGGAATTTGCGTCGGAGGGAGCCACATTCCAAAACCTGCTGCTCCTGGCTGTGTACGATGTGCAGCTTCATGGCAAGGTGGAGTAATGACTTCAGCATTTATACAATGGCATCCTGTGGCGGTGGAAGGTGACAGAACGGCTCAGCGGCCTGGTGGCGCTTGACCTGTCCAGTCCTTCTCCAAGATTTGCCATTGCGGTAGACTGTGCAAACATGTGCGAACGCCTAACTACACAGAGGCCCCTATGCAGCATCTGGACTTTGGGTCCAGGGCCAGCTTTCATTTAGGCAGGTGCTCCAGTGAATTGCTCCCATCAGAACAAGCTCACATGAGATGGAGGCAAAAGCTGCCCTTGCACCAGAGCACTGAGGCGCCGCAACTTTTTTTATTCGCCACGCCGCGTGCCCTCCTGCCATTCTGGAAAGGTGCGGTCGGTATACTCAGGCAGCCCGCTTGATGTCAATTGGAGGCACAAGCAGTTGGCACACCACGGCACCACGGATCCCGTGCGCGCTGCAAGGTCAAACTGGATTCCAGAGAAGCAGCCTCTTTCACTCCAGGAACTTCTATCACGTTATGCGCAAAGGCCAGGAATGCATTTCTCTCTGACGCTTAGGGAAGCGTTTGGCCGGCAGTTGATGCCAGTTGATGCCCCGAGCGACTGCGGCCCAAGCAAGCCTGCGCGTCAGCCGCACTTGGTCCCAATGCCCAATGCCGTGGCACTATGAGCTCACCCTTTGGCCACCCCCGGCACCTCCGGGTGGTGACGCGCTGCCTTACGAGGAAGCTTTGGGGGATGCTGCGCTCAGTGAAGCTGAGACGCTTCTGGAGGGCGGTTTCTATGAGGCCCGTGGGTTTACTGCGGTACCTTCGTTGAACCAGTGGACTAGTGCAGAAATTGATCCAGAGTAGAACTGTCGTTGTGTCTTTGGGCAGGAATGTCGAGAGAAGCTGGATGCACAACCTGGTCAGTGTCACCGTGGCCTCCGCTTGCGGCTTCAGAGCTATCGGTTCCAAGGAGAGCACCGCTTGGCTCGGAAGTTTGCAGAAGACGAGCTCACAAGAATTTCCTCGAACGAGGATCCCTTGGGCTGGGCCATGATCCAGCTGAGCTTGGCGGAGTTGGAGCTTGCAGACGAGAGACCAGCTCTTGCAAAAGATGCGGCGCTACAGGCACTAGAAACTTTTTTGGAAGTGGACATGCCGTCATACGAAGGATTTTGCCTGCTCGCCCTTGCTGACGCAGCCATGGCAGATGAGAGCTACGTTGATGCGGAAGAACGCGCATGCGAAGCCTTGGAATGCTTTGACCAGGATGGTTTTCACGCCTCCCAGGGCCTGGGCCGCGGCCTGGGACGCGCTTTGCTCACCTTGGCAGAGGCCCAGGCCGCGCAACACAGTCCATCGGCCCACCGTGCCTTCGAGAAAGCACTGGAAGTTTTCAAGTTCTGCCAAGACGAGGTGTGGCAGGCCGCGCCGTCATTTCAGGCAGATGTAGACGTCCATTAGCAACAGTAATTGTGAGAGGCTTATGTCCTGGGAAAACGAGCAGGTTGGGCATGGGACCAGGACCTCCCCAAATCTTTCTTGGCAGTTAGGCGCAGCTGGTGCTTTCAGAATGGCAGGACAACCCTGAGCTCGCGGCAACGTGTGCCCAGGCTCTTGCTCGCACAGCTTAGGTTCTTCACGCATAAAGAAGCATGTCAGGCAGCGATGCATCTCTTGGAGTCCAAGAAATGGAACGCAAGCAGGGAGGCTGCCTGGGTTTTGTCCAGAGAGGCAGGGAGCTAAAGTTTGGAGGATGTTGGTAGGGAGGAGTATTTTGTTGTTGTTGTGAACCCGTCCAAGCTCCCCCAACTCCCCCCCCCCTCCCCCTACCCCCCTTCGCCCCCTTGAGGGAGGAGGGGGGGGAGGGGGGGGGGGGCGGGGAGGTTGCGAATAATCATCTTCTGAAATTCTTTTCATTCAAATTCAAGCCATGAGAAGATATTACGGCCTTAGGGGGCCCTGTTGTTGTTCCGGGGGGGGGGTCCCAAAACAACATACGGGGTCACGGTTTTGGTTTCTACGCCAGGAGAAGAAACAACAACATCATTTGGGGCAGGGGGGTCTAGAACAACAGACGGTGTCGCAGTTTTGGTTTCTACAATATAGAGTGACATTATAGAACCCCCAACACGTCATGTCTTTGAAGGTGGCAACTGTTTATCAACCATATCCATGTCTCTAGTCAAATTCAAGCCATGAGAAGATATTACGGCCTTAGGGGGCCCTGTTGTTGTTCCGCGGGGGGGTCCCAAAACAACATACGGGGTCACAGTTTTGGTTTCTACGCCAGGAGAAGAAACAACAACATCATTTGGGGCAGGGGGGGCTGGAACAACAGACGGGGTCACTGTTTTGGTTTCTACAATATAGAGTGACATTCTAGAACTCCCAACACATCATGCCAATGAAGGGGGCAAGCAACTACAAACCCTCTGCAGGTTTTCATTCCAATTTTTTGCTTTGCACAATATCGTGTCGAAATTTCCATCACATCATAACCTTGAGTTTGGCTAGGTATACTGCAACCGATGCTGCAAAGCATCAAACACATGGCTTCCAGTCTCGAGATTGAATCACAAGTCAACGCCCTTACCCCTTCAGCTCTAAACCCTCGACCGTCCTCAAATTCCAAGCAAGGTGAACATGATGTATGGTTTGGGTTCCGATGTCAAGCATATCACGCCTGCCTATTACACAATAAGGGATCGATTGCGTTGGAAACAAAAATCCATGGGAATTTGGGAGAAGAGGGGGACATTGCAGCGATTTGGGATATCTTTCGCAAAATTTGCTGGGAAGTTTGGGATTTGGGATGAAGAGGGAAAGTCTGCGGGGATGAGAGGGGAGAATGTGCAGCGGTTTGGGAGGAACAAGGGAGAATTTACAGAATATGTAAGGGTTTGAAATGAAAACATGTAGAATTTGCGGGGATCTGGGATGAAACAGTGGAGAATCTACAGAAGTTGCGAGGATCTGGTCTGGGATGAAAAAGTCGAGACTTTACAGACTTTGCGCAGGGATTTGGGATGAACAAGTCGAGAAGTTACAGACTTTGCAGGGATTTGGGATGAACAAGTGAAGAATTTCCAAAGTTTGCAGCAGTTTGGGATGAAAAAGAGGAGACGTTACAGAATTTGCAACGGTTTGGGATGAAAAAGGTGACAATTTACAGAGTTTGCACGGATTTTTGGCTGAAACGTAAGAAATTGCAGTAGGGATCCGGGAGAATTTGCAGGGAGTTGGGATGAGAGGGGGACAATTTGCTGAACTTGCAAGGATTTGGGGGAAAGGGGGCGAATGTGCAGAATTTGAAGGGGTTTGAGCCGAAACGGGCAGAGTTTGCAGGGATTTGGGGATGAGAGCAGGGTTTTATGATGAAAGGAGGAACATTTGCAGGAATTTTGGGTGAAACGGGGAGCATTTGAGAGGATTTGAGATCAAAGGGGAAAAAGTCGCGCTGGATCTGGGATCAGCTGATTTTCGAAAGACGGTTGGGTTGATATATTCATGTTCGGGCATGTAGGGGTTGGTTGTTCTACGAACTTAAGATTCACCCGCAACCGCTACATGTTCTCAAGAACATTTTTTTCGGTGTTGGTTTTGCTGTTTTTTTGGTAGCGTTTTCAATGGGTCAGAATAGCAATCATGAATCATCATTACTGATATATGACCTAAATGGTGGGATCCCCCACGCCGCGTCACACCCGCGCACCTCCATCCGTCCGCAACCCCAAGCAAAGCCAACATGATGCATGGTTAGGAATTATGGCAGTTTTTGGGTTTCGATGCACGTATGTCGGATGGGATTAGATGAGGGTTTAGGGTGTGAGATGTAAGATCCAGGATATGGCCTATATGGTCCCGGGCTTCAATGCTTGGATGTCGCTTACAAGCCCTTGTGCATGAGTTTTGCAGCTTTATTGCATTCCCTTTGTAGTGAAAGGAACAAAGCACCGTATCTCATGGTGATTTCCATAAAGTAATCGTTCATGTGGAAGCAGCTGCTGCGGAAGCCGCCGAAAATCCTTGACCTAAGCCCTACAACCCGCAAAAGCGCCAAGCAGCTTGTACCTGTCAAAGTGGGACCCTGCAGACAAGGAGATTCGCGTGTTTGGAGCAAGTTTTGGCAACATTCGATTTTTTGTCGTGAACTTTCAAAAGTTCACGAAATGGGCTTGGGGGCTTAGCAAAAACTGGCATGCTGAAGGAAATCAGTGAGCACAGCAGCTTTTAGAAAAAATATCAGCAGGTACCATGTTTTGGGCTTTGGCCTTTTTCACGGTTAGGAATATACTGCAAACATGCGTAGAATCAAATAAACCCCAGGGTTCCAGGAGCCTCATACATGCTTCCAACTGGCCCGAGTGCCAGGATCTGTTGAATTCTGCCCACTCCAAGCCCTTGACCTAACTCCTTGGAGAAAAGCAACTATCACCTTTCCCCCAACAAGGAACTGCCAGTTTCCCAAGGAGACTTTCCATCATTGCTGATGCTGCGCGTGTGTCGAATCCGAGCCGATCTGCACAGTGGTGTTGGTTTCGTGTTTGAAACTAACCGCCCTTAGGCTGCAGCACCCAAGTCTTATCTGGCTGCGGTTGCCAGTAGTAGTTGCTTGGTGGTGGAAGATTAGGGTGTATGTACCCATACCGGCTCGCTTTGCCCGTAAGTGGAGCCACCTGTGAATTGGGCTCGACCTCGCTGATCGGGAGCTGTCACCGGCAGGGCCCCTTCCGCAGCCAACCGCCTCATGCGTTCATGCACATCTGGCGACACGGAGCTCAATGCGTCTCCCAGCAGTGGCCTCTGGTCGTTGTTGCGAAGAGCCTCACGGTCCTCCAAACCCAAACCATCTTGGTTCATCTCATACCCTTACAAATTCTGCGAGTTCTACCCTTTGTTCACACCTTGTTCATCCCAAACACGTGCAAACTCTGCAATTTTACCTCTTGTTCATCCTAAATCCATGTAAATTCTGTAAATTCTTCCTTTTGTTCATCCCAAATCCCTGCAAATTCTGTAAATTTGCATTGTTTTCATCCCAAATCCTTGCAATTTCTGTAAATTTCCCTGTTTTCATCCCAAATCCTTGCAAATTATGTAAATTCCCTTTTGTTCAGCCCAAACCCCTGCAACTTCTATAAATTCTCCAGGTTTTATCCCAAATCGCTGCAGATGTTGTAAATTCTAACTTTTTCATCCCAAACCCTTGCAAAGTCTGCAAATTCTTCCCCTCGTTCATCCTAAATCCATGTAAGTTCTGTAATTTCTTCCCTTCTTTCATCCCAGATCCTTGCAAATTCTGTCATGTTCCCTGTTTTTATCCCAAATCCCTGCAAGTTCTGCAAAGTCTCTCTCCTCTTTTTTCATCCCACATCCCTGCAAGTCCAAGTTATGTAAAGACTCTCTGTTTTTCATCCCTAATCATTGTAAATTCTGTAAATTCTTCCCTTTTTTGTGGCCAACCCCTGCAAATTCTGCAAACTCTACGCTTTGTTCATCCCAAATCCCTGCAACCGCTCCAAATTCCGGAAAGTCTCCCCTCTCATACCCAAGTCCTTGCAAATTCTCATCCCAAATCCAAAAAAACCCGGCAAATGAGAAACGTATCCCAACTTCCCATCGTTCTGTTTCCAACGCAGCAGATCCTTTATTATAATAGCCAGGCGTGATAGGGGTGTTG